GACAATGGAACCAGTGTGATAGGAACAGAGAGGGGATTAAATAGGGGCTTAAGGAAATGGCAGCACGAAAGAATACATATTCTTATTATACCTCTTCAGTGCGTAGAGACATAGACTGACATTTCGACCTACCGGCTGCAAGCCATCGGGGTGGTCTTGTGGAACGTATGATCCCCATTGTTCGTAGGGTTTTAGGTAAAGTTGCTGATAAACGACCGTTGATTGATGGAAATCTTGTGACTTTACTGATAAAAGCTGAACGCATTATAAATAACAGACTTCACTCACCTTAGACACTGACGATTCCCAAGTGTTAACACCTGCTAAGCTACTATTACTAAGGGAAAACTCGATAAGTATTGGTTTAACCCACTCTAGTGATAAGTTCTCTGGAAGGTTGAGGCAAACCAACTACTCAGCAGATAGAAACGTTGGTCTAAGGTATATATCTCCTTGTTACAAGGACGGCGAAAATAGATGGACACAAGTCGGCATGTGCAAGCCGGATAAGATTTTATCGGTAGGAATCGATGGCCACTTGAGGTCGTGCAACGGGTGCTGTTTTTTAAGGATGGTCTAGTCAGACAAGTGAAGGTGAAGGCGGCTATAGGAGTACTGGTAGGGGATATTTGGATGGTCAGTCTTTCGGAAGTCACAGAAGACAGGCTTCATTAGGGAGGTATCCAGGACTACTGTTGTAACTCCTGGTTACCAATAAGGCAATACGTATGGGTTTAATGTTGTGTAATAATTTGCTTTTGCACATATATTGGATGCACATGCCATAATAATGAAGGCCCCTTCAGTTTGGAGTTTGGTTTGTGTGTGTGTGTTGTATAACAATTTGTTTGCGTGACTCAATAGACTATTTTAAATAATACTTTTTCGGTTGATTGGAAGAGAGACTTAAATATTTTCAGAGAGCAGTGTTAAGTCACATATTGTACCTTCAAACAAGAAGTGCTTTACACACCATTTAACATTGTTGTGTAAATAGGACTGTTTCGCGCTTTTTTGTTTGAATGTACGTCCTTCTTAACTGAGAGCTATTTTGTACTCGACTAATGTGCTTGATATTTGGATGTCGTGTAGCCTCATAACTGAAGACTTGTGTCAAAATGAACAGCAAATCTTGGAGTTTGTTCACTGAGTTTCGGTCTCGGTATAAGTCCATTTAGAATAATTTGGCTTTGTTTTGGATTTGGTCGAAGACTGAGAGGTTGTCTCTTCGTGTAGATTTATTCGTACATTGGCTTCGATACCTAGAATATACGAAACAAGTTAGGAGTTAGTGCGAATTCATGTCGCAAAATGATCTGTTTACAAGGAGTGTGCGCGACTAAAGGTCCTATTAGACGAAGCCTTAGCATTCTGCAAGTAGTCTCATCATCCGGAGCACCCCTTTATTTTTTATTACAGCTTGATTCCACACTGTATTTTTTGGTAAAGGGACAGAATCTTCAGCATGTGATATCGTTAGCCCGAATTTCGCAGGCCGACCGTAGATATCAGGTGTGCGTCGGCAGGGGATCAAACTCCGAACCATGTGCGTGGTCGGCGAGAGTTCTAACCACTGTGTCACCATAACTACTTAGTGAAAGAGTCATTGGTTGCAATTATGGAACTGGAGAAACACCTGTGCGAGTCTCACAGTAAAAATAGAAATATATAACGATCAAGCTAAAATGTAGCGCAAACGTTGAACGCACCGCGTGAAGTAGTGCTAGCTGTATTTCCTCGTGTCTGAAATTACGACCTGTAGCATGGGATTTCTCCATGGATTCCTCTATAGTGGCACTGATAAGATTGGTAGAAGACATCGAAATGAAATATTCATGGACAATGGAACCAGTGTGATAGGAACAGAGAGGGGATTAAATAGGGGCTTAAGGAAATGGCAGCACGAAAGAATACATATTCTTATTATACCTCTTCAGTGCGTAGAGACATAGACTGACATTTCGACCTACCGGCTGAAAGCCATCGGGGTGGTCTTGTGGAACGTATGATCCCCATTGTTCGTAGGGTTTTAGGTAAAGTTGCTGATAAACGACCGTTGATTGATGGAAATCTTGTGACTTTACTGATAAAAGCTGAACGCATTATAAATAACAGACTTCACTCACCTTAGACACTGACGATTCCCAAGTGTTAACACCTGCTAAGCTACTATTACTAAGGGAAAACTCGATAAGTATTGGTTTAACCCACTCTAGTGATAAGTTCTCTGGAAGGTTGAGGCAAACCAACTACTCAGCAGATAGAAACGTTGGTCTAAGGTATATATCTCCTTGTTACAAGGACGGCGAAAATAGATGGACACAAGTCGGCATGTGCAAGCCGGATAAGATTTTATCGGTAGGAATCGATGGCCACTTGAGGTCGTGCAACGGGTGCTGTTTTTTAAGGATGGTCTAGTCAGACAAGTGAAGGTGAAGGCGGCTATAGGAGTACTGGTAGGGGATATTTGGATGGTCAGTCTTTCGGAAGTCACAGAAGACAGGCTTCATTAGGGAGGTATCCAGGACTACTGTTGTAACTCCTGGTTACCAATAAGGCAATACGTATGGGTTTAATGTTGTGTAATAATTTGCTTTTGCACATATATTGGATGCACATGCCATAATAATGAAGGCCCCTTCAGTTTGGAGTTTGGTTTGTGTGTGTGTGTTGTATAACAATTTGTTTGCGTGACTCAATAGACTATTTTAAATAATACTTTTTCGGTTGATTGGAAGAGAGACTTAAATATTTTCAGAGAGCAGTGTTAAGTCACATATTGTACCTTCAAACAAGAAGTGCTTTACACACCATTTAACATTGTTGTGTAAATAGGACTGTTTCGCGCTTTTTTGTTTGAATGTACGTCCTTCTTAACTGAGAGCTATTTTGTACTCGACTAATGTGCTTGATATTTGGATGTCGTGTAGCCTCATAACTGAAGACTTGTGTCAAAATGAACAGCAAATCTTGGAGTTTGTTCACTGAGTTTCGGTCTCGGTATAAGTCCATTTAGAATAATTTGGCTTTGTTTTGGATTTGGTCGAAGACTGAGAGGTTGTCTCTTCGTGTAGATTTATTCGTACATTGGCTTCGATACTTAGAATATACGAAACAAGTTAGGAGTTAGTGCGAATTCATGTCGCAAAATGATCTGTTTACAAGGAGTGTGCGCGACTAAAGGTCCTATTAGACGAAGCCTTAGCATTCTGCAAGTAGTCTCATCATCCGGAGCACCCCTTTATTTTTTATTACAGCTTGATTCCACACTGTATTTTTTGGTGAAGGGACAGAATCTTCAGCATGTGATATCGTTAGCCCGAATTTTGCAGGCCGACCTTAAATATCAAACTCCGAACCATGTGCATGGTGTACGATTCTCCTATCCACTGTGGCACTTATATCCCTTCACTTTCAGTAGATCTGGTAATTTATAGTGCTTTATTGCAACGACGGAATTTGGCTCACTATATCCCACATGATTATGAACATGGGTAACCTGAACATTTGAAGCTTGTTTGGAAGGGAAAGCGACTAGGTTACATTCGATGCTCCAAGGAACTTTTTGATTGGTCCAAAGAATGGATGTTGTCATGCGTCATAGAAAAGTTTGCACTCATACGCATGCAAGTGTAAACGTAAATGATACAGGGGTTACCACTCCTATAAGTTCATGAAATGATCGACTTAGGTGTAACGTGAAATCATGACCTTAACACAACAGCATACTGTCATAATGTAGAAGTTCTCAGTTTTAGATCCTTATTGGAAATATGCAGGGTTCTTACAAGATCCACCAGCGTAATGTTTACCACTCCATATACATCTCTGGTAAGGTAGAAACTAGAAAAACGCATCCAGGCAGCCAGTCCTATTTTCAAAAGGGGCTAAATATTCTAGAAAGAGTTGGAAAGAAGGACACTTATATGATTCCTGATATTAGCAATTTACCAATAAAAGGAAAAACTTAACAGTTCGAGCCTCTTCCCACCATACCAAAGAAAGGAAGTAGGTCTCATCACAATCTTCGAAGTTCCAATGGACTACGACGGACCTGATTTGCCTTCTCGTTTCTTTTCACCCAGGTTGAGACACCTGACAGGACATAGCCGAAGAGTCGAAGAGAAGGAAATACATAGCTCTGGAGCACTTGTTCTTACACGGAATCATAAGCTCTTGGGACCGATGCCCAGAAGTCATGATTTCTACGCCCCCAGTAGACTTGTTGGAAAGGGATACGTATTGGGATGGTATCAACAAAGTCGTGAAGCATTCTATTCTCGACCAGATGTCTGAATCTGATATCTGGCACTATCATAAATCCTTATATGGCTATCAGAAAGGTGGAGAATCGCCATTCAAATGGATTTTTCAGGTGCAGTGTCGGACATCCATCGCTTACACTCTACTTAGGACCTGCTGAGTTCGTCACAGCTCTTCAGGAAGGTTAAGGATATGGTTTGTGAAACATTCTACAAGAAATCTTCTGCTTAACAGATGGAGACAGTCTGTTGCCTTTAAATGAAGTAAATTTTGACAGGGATATTTCTGATACTGGAATATTTTGTGAATAATGAACACAGAAAACATTGCCCTACTCCGTCAATTCCGCGTTCCCCCAACCTTTCACAGTCCTAGTCTCCTGATCCTTCTTTGTAAGATTAATTTTAATTTAGGGACCAAAAAGAGGCTCAGTCATGCTGCAGTTCAAATTCATTTTGACGGGTAGGTAAGTTTACACTTTACCAAAACAAATGTTAGACAGCAAGTTAACTACAGCAACGTCTCGTGAAGGTATTGGATATTGGACAGTAAAGAGAGATTCACGTGTGATTTCTGTTGGGGAGAAGTAAATTTGTTGTATTTGGTGGATTGGAAAGGGTAGACTGCAATTCAGAACCCTACTTCATTGACTGTTGGACTCTGGTTTGTTTGAATGCATTGTTGCTGAACGTTCTAGACATTTTTAACAGCGTGATTGTTAGTGGCTACTCCCGGTGATGTTTCGTGCTCTCGGTTCTCTCCGTGGTTTGACTCAGGTTAGACAAAGACTAGCTCAGAGATACTATGCCAAAGAAGTGAAGTTTGGTGCAGATGCGAGGTCAGCGATGTTGGTTGGCGTCGATATTCTCGCCGACGCTGTTGCAGTGACAATGGGTCCAAAGGGTCGCAATGTGATAATCGAAAGTTCATGGAAGTCTCCAAAAATTACTAAGGATGGCGTCACAGTTGCCAAGGGTATTGAATTGAAAGACAAGTTCCAGAATATTGGTGCAAGGTTGGTACAAGATGTTGCTAATAATACAAACGAGGAGGCTGGTGACGGCACCACGACTGCAACAGTTTTGGCTCGGGCAATTGCTAAAGAGGGTTTTGAGAAAATAAGTAAGGGTACCAACCCCATAGAGTTCCGGAGAGGTGTGATGTCTGCAGTCGATGCTGTAGTGAAGGAGCTGAAGTCACTGTCAAAAGAAATTTCCACACCTGAGGAGATAGCACAAGTAGCAACAATATCTGCTAATGGTGACAAAGCTATTGGTGATTTGATTGCTTCTGCCATGAAGAAGGTTGGTAACGATGGTACCATAACTGTGAAGGTAGGTGTCTTTGAATATCTATGCATAACACTCAGGATGGAAAAACACTGAACGATGAGTTGGAGTTCATCGAGGGCATGAAGTTCGATCGTGGTTACATTTCCCCCTACTTTATAAACACTGAAAAGGGAGCACGATGCGAGTTTCAAGATGCCTTTGTATTGTTTTCAGAGAAAAAGATCAACAGCATCCAAACACTGCTTCCTGCCCTTGAATTGTGTCACCAACAAAAACGACCTCTGCTGATCATTGCTGAAGACGTAGAAGGTGAAGCACTGACTGCTCTAGTGCTTAACAGATTAAAACTGGGTCTGCAGGTTTGCGCAGTCAAGGCTCCAGGTTTCGGAGACAATCGAAAGAATACTCTAAAAGACATGGCGATAGCAACCGGCGGAATAGTAAGTAGACATTTCTTAGCACCATCTGCCATTAAACAAAATAATGGAATCTTAATTATTTCTTCAGGTGTTCGGTGATGAAGCAGACATGTTCAAGCTGGAAGACGTACAACTTCAAGATTTAGGGCGCGTGTCAGAAGCCATTATTTCAAAGGAAGACTGTTTATTGATGCGAGGCCGAGGAGACAAGGCTAGCGTTGATAAACGCATAGCTCAGATCAAGGATGAGATGGAAGCCTCCAATAGTGAATACGAAAAGGAGAAAATGCATGAACGCATGGCCAAATTGTCCAACGGTGTCGCAGTCATCAAGGTTGGTGGAAGCAGTGAAGTCGAAGTTAGCGAGAAAAAGGATCGCTACACTGATGCCCTAAATGCAACACGAGCTGCAATTGAAGAAGGAATAGTTCCAGGCGGTGGAACCGCACTCCTCCGATGCATCCCAACCCTCCAAAAACTGGAGACTAAAAATGAAGATCAACGCATAGGTGAGTATCAGTGTGCTTGTATTGGCTCACGTCGAAGCCATGAGATTTATCTCGTGGTCAAAGTGTAGCCTATAGTGAACGGTATGTTGGTCGCTGGACGGACTTGTCTTTCTGGCATAACCTAACCCACCAACAATGAATTTTTGTATTCGGTCTGAGTGTTGCGCGGCTGAGAAGTCGCGTGTCAAACTGACCGTAAATTAACCATACAGTCGTCATGAGTATAAGTGCAGCACTTCTGTTGAGAATTGCTGTTTTTATATGAAGACTGACACTAATAATGATTATTCTGCATGTTTTAGCCTGTGCTTCGATTAAACATTTCACAGAATTGGGCTTAGGTTTACGTTTAAATGAAAAGCTTCGTTTTTTGTCCTGATTCGCCCGGTATCGCGTTTTGTCCTCTGATTTGATCCGCGTGGCATATGCTTTTTTGCGTTGGATTGAGTTGGGGTTTGATACATATTTTTACATGTTTCGCTATGGCAAATATAGTGTGAGGGGTTGTGTGTTAGGGTGGGTGGCAGGTAGAATTGTATCTATGTGCCTTTAGATAACTTAGGTGAGCTGTTGGGCTTTTGTCGTGGCTCACCTCGAAGCCATGATATTTATCTCGTGATCAAAGTGTAGCCTACAGTAAACGGTGTGATGCTCGCTGGATAGGCTCGCCTTTCTGGCACCACGCAACTCACCAACATGAAGTATTTGTATTCGGTCTGAGTGTTGCGCGGCTGAAAAGTCGCGTGTCAAACTGACCGTAAATTAAACATACTGCCCTCACTGGTGTCATATTGGTCCGTGAAGGCGTACATAATCACTGGTCGCTTCTGCTGTTTTGATGATGGTAATCCGTATGTTATTATGGCGCTTGGCACTTTATTGCAGAGACTAGAGTTAACGTCCTTTTTCTTTGAATACCTTTTCCCTATAATTCAGTTGCGTATTAATCAGGGCTTTCTCTTGTAATTTGCGTGGTGTCTTGCTCACTCATAAAGGGGTGCAGTTTGATACAAATAGAGGTTTTACGAATTTGGCTGACATCGAAAGTTGCAATACTTGTATAGTCCACAAATCTCTACTTGGGACGAAATATAGACGTATGTATGACGGTGTTCTTCGTTCACGGAAAGCTCATATGCTTGTGGAGAACTGTGGTGGTTTGTTCATGGCTTACGTCGAAGCCATGAGATTTATCTCGTGGTCAAAGTGTAGCCTATAGTGAACGGTGTGTTGGTTGCTGGACGGACTTGTCTTTCTGGCATAACCTAACCCACCAACAATGAATTTTTGTATTCGGTCTGAGTGTTGCGCGACTGAGAAGTTGCGTGTCAAACTGACCGTAAATTAATCATACAGCCTACATGAGTGAGTGCAGCATTCCGTTTCGACGTGTTGTTTCTTCATGAAGGCGTACATTTCAAGTGACCGATGGTTTGGCTCAGCTGGACATTATGTGTTACCAGTTGGGATAAATTGGTTCTTATGTATATTCTTGGTAAGCTACGTCTTTGTTCCTGTCACTCCACTTATGCTTAATATTCGATATCATCTCGTCTGTTGTAGGTGTGCAAATTGTTCTCCGTGCGCTCTCAACCCCATGCTACACTATCGCGCACAATGCTGGTGTGAATGCTTCCGTTGTCGTCGAGAAAGTGATGAGCATGAGCGGAAACAAGGGATATGATGCTCAGAACGATGCCTATGTAGACATGATCGAAGCAGGTATTATTGACCCAACCAAGGTGAGTCCGTGTTCCTTTTTAAATGTGCATTGTTAATTTACCAATTCACTTCATAACGCATTCTCCTTTTGTTCCTTCACAGGTGGTTCGAACTGCTCTTGTTGATGCCGCGGGTGTTGCTTCCTTATTAACAACTGCGGAAACTGTTGTAACTGACTTGCCAAAGGAAGAAACAGGTGCAAACGCTGCGGGCATGGGTGGTATGGGAGGAATGGGTGGAATGGGAGGCATGATGTAATCTTGCAGCATTTTATCAGACACTGCATTTCAAAGTTGCAGCCAAAATCGTTTTTTCTGAAGTAGCTGAGTTAATCGTAGAATCTCCATTTGTTCAAAGTCCCTGATTTTCCCTCAAATATATTTCATTGATTTCACTTTGTGTTCTAAGCAAGCGTTCAGTCACAGTGGTCACGAAAAATGCACCTGCTGCACATCTCATCTTTTGGTAGACCAAGTGACTTCATCTGATATAGTCAGTTTGTTGTGAGTAGGTTCGAATAAACAGTCTTGAAAGACTATCTGATGCAAGTGTTGATTGTAACTGTTTTCGTTCCCGAGGTTGGGAGCTTACACGCGCTGTACCGTATTGGCTGATGTTGTTTATGGAAATGTTTCTAGCGGAATAGGGTAGATGACAAATGGATGTCCTTTCAGAGTTTATCTTTGTTGCACTTTATGGTGTTTTTCACTGACTGGCTTGTTTGCTGTGATTTAGTGAACTCTTCACGAGATAACTAAGTGGTGTTTGATATTATCTTGCCAAGTAGTTCGCTTTTTGATGGTTTAAAAAAATAACCGTCTCTAGTAGCCACGTGGGCTGGGTGAGTAGAAAGGTGTTTCTGGGTTTATCCTTTCTGTCTTCTTCCTCGTGGTTTAATTCGATGTTGGATGAATTAATTGTTGTCGTTGTGGTGTAAGCCTTGTTGTGGGTCTTATTATCCGGGTGAGCGGCGTAATTCTGCCACCTATTGGCTTCTTCATGCGTTTCATGTGTTAGGAACAATGTAAACGGTATAGAAGTTGCTACATCGACAGGGATGGTTGGGACATGTGTTACATGAGCCTGATCATCGCCTTCCTCGACGGGCAATGTTAGCTGACATAGGGTCAGGCTGGAAAACAGCTAACGGCGGTCAAACCAAAACGTGGCCCCATCAGTCAGTGGAATTCACAACAGTTAGTTTAAGCCAACCAGTCAGCTACGTAGGAAGGTGCAGACTTCCTAGTTGGGGTCCTCGGGACGGTAAAATAATTGGTGACATGGCTCAAAATCGTTCCCAGTGGCTGGCGCAGATGCGCCCACTCCCTGTGACTTATGGTTTCCAATGAAACTATATTGTTCTTCGTTATTACTATTCCTTTATCTCACACCTCTGTTTACTGACTCTATTATGCACTTCTTGTCTTGCTTTGTGTGCTACATGGAGGGTAGCGATTCCAACTGTCGCACATTAGCGCAAAGTTCCATGTCGGAAACAGACAGACAGACAGAAGTTGCACCATGTCTTCGAGAAGGCTTTACGCGCCTGAATTGTATTACACATGTTTACCTCGAAGTACTTCCATGGAGTATGTAGCACTACGTTGAATATAGACTGATAAAAGTCATTTCACCGAACCATTAAATCTCTAATATCAGGAACTGAAGCTTGAGGGCTGTGTAGATTGGCTGACTGAGACATATGTTTCCCAGAATCTGGAAGTGATGTTACTTCATATTCTTTAGTGCACAGCGATGATGCCCACTCAATTTTCGTTTAATTTTAGTGTCACGTTCCATGTTTGTTTATTAGATGTATCACACAGTAAAATAATATTATTTACTGGATGACGTTTCGAAAAAAATTTATCGCTGTTCATAATCACATCGACCAAATATAATCACACAACTTCGAAACTTTCGTTTTATAGTTTTCTTTGCCCTCATATTTGTCGTCGTTGGGGTGGTAGAATTTTCCGGATATATGGAACAGGTGTTGAATCATTCCTATTACATGTATTTGCGGTTGATTCGATAAACAAAGCTTCTGTTGTCATTCTCTCCTTCCACCCTGTGACATTAGATTTCAAAAAACTATGGTCCTATTGTGTGGTCGTGTGTAATTGCATGTGGTGTGTGCTATAGCTGAACTATTCTCTAGATTTCTTATCTTATTCGAGTTAACTAATCTAGACTTTGCTGCTAGGTTTTTATGCTGCACCAGTCTGACCGCCCCCTTTTCTACTAGTTTGACCCATGTACTTGACCTGACGATCACCGCAGACAGTCTGTCTGTCTGGATTCAACATAGAACTTGGCACCGAAGTGCAGCAGTTCGAGTTGCCACGTTCCAAATAGCACACAGAGGTAGACAAGAAGATGAGTGAAGAGAATTAATAGAGTTTGACAAGTATAAGAGTGAAACAGAATGGGTAATGGTAGAAAGGAATATGAAAGATTACAGAGACTGAATACATCTGCGCCATTGACAACGATTTTGAGCCATGTCACCTATTGTCTCCAGCCATTGATTCCTAGAGTCCCGAGGGCCCCAACCCGGGAGTCTGCATCTCCCTACCTGACTCAGTTTAACTGTCAAGGATTTCATGGATTGATGCCATGTTTTTGTTTGGCCACCACTGGCTCTTTTCCAACCTGAACCTATATCAGCTACCAATGCCCGTCGGGGGAGGCGGTGGTTAGGCATGCGCACCACGTGACCTAGCCATCTTAGTCTATGTAACTTTATAGCCTCGTCGATTGATTTTCCCTCTTTGCCCAACACTCTACGCCTAACGTCAACATTACTTATCTTGTGAAACCACCTAACGTGAGACAGAGATCGCAGACATCTATGATCGAAAGCAGTCAACCTTTTCATGTCTTCAACGCGTATTGGCCATGTTTCAGAGCCATAGAGAAGGACGGAGCGAACTGATGAGCAGTACACACGTCCCTTGGTTGATAACCGGATGTCACGCCTACGCCAGAGATGGTGTAAGTCAGCGAAAGCAGCTCGAGCTTTTCGGATCCGTGCTGAGATTTCATCGCCAATCAGTCCGTTGGTGCTAATACAACTTCCCAAGTAGGTGAAGTGGTCAACATGTTCTATCACTTCACTCCCTATCACTAAGTTAGGGGTTGACGTGGTCCAGTCCTGTAGCAGCATCTTACATTTTGCAGGGGCGAATCGCATGCCAAACATACGAAGATTGCTGCTCAAGGTGTTCAGAAGACTCTGCATTTTGTCAGCATCCTCCCCTAACAGGACTATGTCATCTGCATATTCTAAGTCCATAAGATTATTCCCTGGTAACAAGTCGATTCCTAAGTCACTACGTTCAGTTAAGGATACTTCCATTAGCATATCTATGATGAAGTTAAACAGAAATGGGGAAAGTGGACATCCCTGTCGGACACCACTGGTTGTTACCAATTCAGATGACAATTCCCCATAAGCCCTTACACGACTACGTGAGTTTGAATAGAGTGCCTTGATTAGTGCAATGTACTTTCTTGGCACTCCCTTCACAGTCAGACATTGCCATAGTACCTTTCGGTCCACGGAGTCGAAGGCCGCCTTCAAGTCAAGAAATATGACAATTGTTGGACGCCGAAAAGTGTGTCTATGTTCTAGAATCTGTCGAAGAGTGAAGATATGATCTATGCACCCTCTACCTGGTCTAAAGCCTGCTTGATTTTCCCTTGTCTGTTCCTCCCGAGTTCTGCTTAGTCTATGCATGATTACTGAGCCTAGGATTTTAGAGACTATGTTCGTTAGGCTGATCCCCCTATGATTATCACACGAGGACTTGTTTCCCTTCTTGAATATCGGTATAATAAGTGACTTACCCCAGTCTGATGGTACTGTCTCTGATTCCCAGACTTTGCCTAGTACCTCAGTTAATCTACAAACTAGTATGTCACCCCCATATTTAAACACCTCCGGAATAATTCCGTCGGGTCCTGCCGCTTTGCCTCGTTTCAAATTACTGATAGCTTTTGTAACCTCACCTACAGACGGCGGACCAGTGTCTATATCCCATTCGGGTACGTGGTGGATGGCGGGGAGGTTCAGTGTGGCTGTAGGCAAGTTAAATTGTTCCTCAAAGTGTTCTTTCCAGCGTTCAAGGCGTCTATCCTGAGAGCTAATTAAGGAGCCATTTTTCTCAGAAATAGTCTCACTTATGAATTGCCTTCTCCCGCCCGATTCTGTGATGAGTCTAAAGAGTTGCCTAGTGTTGCCACAGACAGGGTATTAGATAAACTAAATTTTTCTGTTTTAAAAGCTCCACTGGTTGAATCCTTTAACCGACAAAGCATGTTTGTAATTGAGTTAGTGGGTGGTTTGAATACAAGCCACTTTTATTCCTTCCTTGTTAGGAATTCTTTGTAAGGTTTCCGAGGTTCCTTCCTTGAGTCACGTTTGTCTATTTGTTTTTAGTCCTAGCTCCTTGTTACTTAAATTAATCATGGTATCGTTATCAGTTTGTTATTTTCTATTTGACTACACACGACATGATCCGTGAGTGAACTGTGTGATGACTATATTTCTCTACCTCCACTTTCGAAGGTCATTTCTCACAGTTATAAAGAGAGACAGAGCGAACTAATGGGTAGTATATACATCCTTTAATCGATAACAGGATATCACGTTTATACTAGTATTTCTTGACCAAATTTATTCATTTGTGTATGGTTGTGAAGTTACATCTACTGAGATAGTTAGGACATGTGTTACGCATGCATCCCTAGTCATCGCCTTCTTGGACAACCAGTGTGTTAGCTGACTGACATGGGATCAGTTTGGTAAAGAGAGAGCTAGTGATGGTCAAACGAAAATATGGATTCGTCAGTCAATGAAGTCTTTAGCATTTACTCGGCCAAGTCAAGAGGTGTAAACTGCCTCACTGGTTGAGGTCCTCAGGATGTTAAGAACCAATGTAGGGTGGAGATAGTTGGTGATATGACTTAACATCCTCGTTGTCGATGACTGGTGCAGATGCATTCACTGTTTGCGATTTGTCACTCATATCCAACAAAACTCCTCTATTCTTCTTCCTCCCCTTGCGTATGAGTACTACTCTTTTCCCCTCATTCACACTTCTGTTTATTATCTCTCTTTTGTTGAATTTTCCTAAACTCTCTTCTGGTGCACTGTTGTGCAAAGTTCTATGTTGAAACCAGTCAATCAGTTATGCATATATAGGTATTCATTGAGGTAATTTGACGATGTGTCAGACTATATTGCACTTTTT